TACTTTCATCTGGACACTTTCAGTATTTTCTCACCCATCTGCCTGCCTCTCCCCTCGTCGTCTTTCTCCTGCCTTTCAATCTGCAGAGTAATCTTCTTAAAATACAGCTTTGAGCACACCTTCTTCTCCTCTACTGTAAGGTAAAAGCTCGTTAGCTCAGTAGTTAAGCCCCACACTCCTTACCTGCCATAACTTCCCATCACAAACCCTTCTCCACAACCAAGCCTGGTACATTTCCTTCCCTATGCCACCTCCTCACCTTGGCTCACATTCTTATCTTTGACTGGATTCCACCCCCTCACTCCTCCATCTCCACTCCAACTCACCCTGTCAAAATCCTCACCATTATTTAGAAAGAGCCTCTTCGGGCCGGGCACGGTGGCTCACGCCTGTAATCCCAGCACTTTGGGAGGCCAAGGCAGGCGGATCACGAGGTCAGGAGATCGAGACCATCCTGGCCAACATAGTGAAACCCTGTCTCTACCAAAAATACAAAAAAATTAGCTGGGTGTGGTGGTGCACACCTGTAGTCCCAGCTACTCAGGAGGCTGAGGCAGAAGAATCGCTTGAACCCAGGAGGCAGAGGTTGCAGTGAGCTGAGATCACGCCACTGCACTCCAGCCTGGACGACAGAGTAAGACTCTTGTCCCCTCCTCCCAAAAAAAAAAATGCTGAGAGAGAATCAGAGAAAGGGAGGCTGCAGAGTATAGTGGTTAAGGACTGGGTTTGGGAGCCAGATAGACCTGGGTTTAAATCCTACTCCTGCATTAACTTGTCTGATCCAGAAGGGACGCATGGCCCTAAGAAGGGTTGTGGCTGCCCTAGGTTGGCTTCCAGCCTTCCCCAGCTCTCCTGCGACATCCCTGTGTGGCTCATTCCACCCTTACCATGCCTCCTGTCCTCCCCATAGTCCTGTGGCCCAAGCTTTTCAAGCTGGTGAAGGAGAGAGTTGTGATCCCAAGAAGGAGGGTGAGCGAGTGGGAAAATGAGACAAAGAGAGGAAACAGAATAAAGCGCACAGACACCAGCAGGTTTTCACCGTGGAGAACTGAGCTTGGCTGGAGTCTCTCTGAGTCTGAAACAGACCTGGAATTGGGATGTGGAATGCTCCCACAGAGGGACCAGAAAGCTGGGGTATTTACCCCGAACTCTGGACAATTGGCTGGGGTTGCTCTGGGGGTATTAACTCCACAGCCCTTTGGGCCTGCCCCACACTCACTCCCATAGCTGAAAATGCCCTCAGGAGGGACACAGGAAGCAGGGGCCTGGTCAGGAACTATCTGTGGGTGCCCTCCTGGTAGGCCTGGAGGTGTGGGTGGGGCATTGACAGCATCTACTACACTCAGGGAAAGGAACCTGCTATTAAAATTATTGTTGTCGGCCAGGTGCGGTGGCTCACGCCTGTAATCCCAGCATTTTGGGAGGCTAAGGCAGGTGGATTACTTGAAGTCAGGAGTTCAAGACCAGCCTGGCCAACTCGTCTCTACTAAAAATACAAAAATGTGGTGGCACATGCCTGTAATCCCAGCTACTCAGGAAGCTGAGGCAGGAGAATTGCTTGAACCCAGGAGGTGGAGGTTGCAGTGAGCCGAGATCGCACCATTGCACTCCAGTCTGGGTAACCAGCGAAATTCCGTCTCAAAAAATAAAAACAAAAATATATAAAAATTATTGTTGTCTATTAGCTGCCACGTGGTGGCAGGCTGAGGGGGGAGGATCACTTGAGCCCAGGCTGCAGTGAGCCAAGATCGTGCCACTGCACTCCAGCCTGGGTGACAGAGTAAGAACCTATCTCAGCCAGGCACGCCTGAAATCCCAGCATTTTGGGAGGCCGAGGCGGGCAGATCACCCGAGGTCGGGAGTTTGAGAACAGCCTGACCAACATAGAGAAACTCCCATCTCTACTAAAAATACAAAATTAGCTGGGTGTGGTGGCACACGCCTGTAGTCCCAGCTACTCATGAAGCTGAGGCAGGAAAATCACTTGAACCTGGGAGGGGGGGTTGCAGTGAGCCAAGATCGCTCCATTGCACTCCAGCCTGGGCAACAAGAGCGAAACTCCATCTCAAGAAAAAAAAAAAGCCCATCTCAATTTATATATATTTGAATGTTAATTTTTTAAACTTTATTATTTTTTTAAAGTGATGGGGTCAGCTGGGCATGGTGGCTCACACCTACAATCCCAGCACTTTGGGAGGCCAAGGCAGGCAGATCACGAGGTCAGGAGTTCAAGACTAGCCTGACCAACATGGTGAAACCCCATGTCTACTAAAAATACAAAATATTAGCCAGGTGTGCTGGCGTACCCCTGTAATCCCAGCTACTCAGGAGGCTGAGGCAGGAGAATCGCTTGAGCCCGGGAGGTGGAGGTTGCAGTGAGCTGAGATCGCAGCATTGCACTCCAGCCTGGGCAACAGAGTGAGAGTCTGTCTCGAAAAAAAAAAAGAGAAAGAGATGGGGTCTCGCTCTGTTGCCCAAGCTGGTCTCAAACTTCTGAGCTCAAGGGATCTTCCCACCTTGGCCTCCCAAAGTGCTAATATTACAGGCGTGAGCCACCATGCCCAGCCACACCCATCTCAATTTAAAAATAAATAAAATAATTGTTGTTTAAGACCAGCCTGGGCAATGGAGTGAGACCTCATCTCTACAAAAAATTTTTTAAAAAATTATCCAGGCATGGTGGCCTGCACCTGTAGTCCCAGCTACCTGGGAGGCTGAGGTGGGAGAGTCACTTGAGCCCGCAAGGTCAAAGCTGCAGTGAGCCAAGATCATACCACTGCACTCCAGCCCAGGTGACACATCAAGACTTTGTCTCAAAAATAAATAAAATTGTGGCTGCAAAACAAGAAAGGAGGGAGCAGGAACTATAACCAGCCTAGGGCTTTTCTCTGGATCCTGCAGCCACCTCTTCTTAACTCCCATTCTGGAGCCCAACCATCTGCCTTACACCTACCAGCTCATGGCATCATCTTTCTCTATATCCCTTTCCCAGTGGATTCCTCCCTATCCCAGTCACCTGATGCAAATCCTGATGTCATCTGCCCCAGCCGCCTATCTCTACCTCAACCCTGACTTCTCTGGTTAGAACTCTTGTGAACCCAGGGAGTGTCAAATCCCAGCCTGAATTGAACCTCAACTGGGATTATACTATCCTATAACATACCTTCTCCCCTCTCCTCCCCTCCCACCATTGGAATCACGCCCTCAGGAGAACAGCCCCACTCTTCTGGTCCAGAAGGGGCCCATGGCCCTAAGAAGGACCACAGGTTGGCTTTTGGCCTCCCCCAGCTCTCCTTCGACATCCCCCAGCTCTCCTTCGACATCCCTGCATGGCTCATCCCACCCTTACCCTGCCTCTTGTCCTCCCCACAGTCCTGTGGCCAAAGCTTTTCAAGCTGGTGAAGGAGACAGTTGTGATCTGACAAGGGCTAGACGGGTGCTTCACCCTCTGTCAACAAATACCCTCATTATTCAGCCTGAACCACCTCCATTCATTCCTTTCTATTCAGGCACATATTTGTTAATTCATTCCATCATTCACCTAACACACTTGAAGCAGAGCCAATCACCTCTACCAACATCTTCCTAGAGACAAATAAATTAACTGGGGTTGGGTAACTTTGAGAGCTCCAAAAGGAAAGCTCCAGAGGACGGGGTGTCCGCAGGGGTTCAGGCCTCTCAGGGACCACAGAGCAGACCTGCGGCAGAGGCAGGATTAGAGCCTATGGCTCCGGAGTCAACCAGGGCCAGGCAGAGGGCACCAGCTCTTGGCTGCTGAGAGTCGAGCTCTTCGAAAGTCATCCACTCAGTCAACATCTACTGAGTGCCAGGCAGTGTCACCACCTCTACAGTCATCATGGGAGAGAACAGCAGCCTAGAGAAAGGGAGTCTGAGCCCCCCACCCCGTGGGCTCGAAGTCCACAGTAGAGGCCAGCACTGGTGCCTCTGGTGAGTGTTACTGTGGGAAGACCGCTGTTCCCAGCCCGGGTGCCCTGCTGGACTCCTGCTAGCCCGGCCCCAGCGAGGCAGGGTGTCAGTTTCCCTCTCCAGAGGCCTTTCTTGCCCACCTATTGCCCTTCTCAACCCTGTTCCTTCTTGCAGGAGCAACCTTTCCAGCAGAAAATTCCATTCTGCCCCAAGGACTCTTCTCCTGACTGCCCCTCTCCCAGGGGGACGCAGACTGCCTTCTCCCTGTTTCCTAATGGATGGTGGGCATTTTCCGATTTGGAGGTGAGGAGGAAAAACTAGGTTATTTTCAGCTCTTCCTTTACTGGCAGCATTGACCCATTTATCCTTCTTTTCCTTCAGACCCCTCCCCCAAGGCCACTCAGCTTGGACATCTGTCCCAGCCAAAATCTCACCTTCCACTGTCCTTACAGCCCAAAGGCTAGTCCAGTCTCTGAGTCCAGCTCTAGCCCTCTCACCCCACACCAGGAAGGAAGCTGGACTGCAGAGCACTCTGGGCCACCCCGCGTTGGCCGCTGCCTCTGGCCTCAGTTTCCCCAACTGCTCAGATTAATGATGCCTGCTGTCTAGACCCAGAGGACGAAGCTCTAAGGAGGTCACAGATGAGGAAGGGTCCAGTGCTCGGCGCAGGCTCCGTGCGGAGCCCCTAGGCCCCGCAGCTCGCCCCTCCCTCTCCCCCTACTCCCCTCCTCTCCCCCTCCCGCCTCTCCTCCGCCTCTCCTCCCGCCTCTCCGCTCGCTCGGCTCCCTCTCTGGCTGACCTTCCCTTTCCCTCACGCCTCCCCACGCCCGGCCCGGGGCCCCAGCACCCTGTCCGCCGCCGC